TCCACCGAGTCCACTTTAGGGATCAAAGCGAGCCATGTATGATTAAAACTCCGCAGCATCCGACTCGAAGTAAAGAAGGAAATTACTGCCTCAACCACCGAAGTGCCCACCACATCCCATAAAGCTTTAAAGAACTTCCCTGTGAAGCCATCCGATCCCGGGGCCTCCTTCGATCCCATGGCAAAGACCGTATGCCGAACTTCATTAGGCAAAACCTCCGCCGTCAATTGCGCATTCATTTGCGGAGTAACATTACGGGCAATCGGTAGACTCGCCACCCTTTCCGCCATATTGGGAACCTGAGTTTCCGAGGTGAACAAATTCTGGTAAAAGTTTGTGGCAATAGATGCCTTCCCGGTTTCCTCAGTGACCCATTCTCCCCCCTCATTTCGAAGTCCAGAAACAAAATTCCTCTTCCGCCGAGCCCTTGTGACCGTATGGAAGTAGGCAGAATTTTGATCTCCTTTTTTTAACCATTTAACACTGGATTTTTGTTGCCAGAAAACCTCCTCCGCTTCTCACTGTCGGGAGAGCTCCGCCTCCAGGTTCCTGATCACATCCCAATCCACCGGATGGATCGACTTAATCCTGTCAATCTCGGCCTGGAGCGTCTTGATATTTCGCAAGGAATTAGTCGTGCCCGCTCTGCTCCAATCATAGAGCAGATGACAGAGTTTCTTTAGGCGCTCCCATAGTCGAAACATAGGGGTTCCTTGGATCTCCTCCTGCCAGACATAGTTGACCATTGCCCTTACCTCCGGGTTGTCCGCCCAACGGGCATCAAAATGGAATAAAGGCCTACTAGTAAGAACATAAGGCTTATCAGCAAGGAGGAGGGCACGATGGTCTGATCCTTGGTCCGTGAAGTGTTTGACTAGTGTCTCCGGGTAAGTATCATTCTAGGAATGAGAGCAAAGCGCTCTATCCAACCGAGCACGAATGCAAGCATCTCCCATGCACTTATTTGTCCACGTAAATTGATCACCTTGGTACCCAGGGTCATGGAGACCCAAATCATGAACAAATTCACGGAGGCTAAAAGCTTGGGCAGCATTCCACGCCCGTCCCCCATCTTTTTCACTCTCTTGTAGCGTAGCATTGAAATCGCCCATAATCACATAAGGGTGCATGATATTCGCACACACATTCCGCAATTGAGCCAATTGGGTAGCTCGAATAGCAACATTACAGCTAAGATAAACAAGGATCACCACATAAGAAAAATCTCTTTCATTAATTTGCGAACAAACATAGAAATTTGAATGACAAAACACCGAAGTGTCAACTCCGGGGGCCCAAGCAACTACTAAACCACCTGATGCATCGACTGCATCTACAAAAAAAACAATGAGAAAGAGCAAATCCTAGACCCCTCATACGACGGGACACTACACGCCGGCTCGATCGAGTTTCCGAAAAAAACACGAGATCCGGTTTATTGGAATGAATAAGCCCTACAGCAGTTTGGAACGTGAGGGACGGCCCGATTCCTCTCACATTCCAGGCGAGAAGCCTCATTTATCCTCTTGGGGCCATTCAAGGCTGGCTTCCTCCACCTTATCCAGATGATCAGTCGATTCCACAAATTGTTTCTTTGGAGTAGGAGGGTTACCCACATCCCCCTCCAGCTCCTCAAGCACACGCTTTCGATTCTCCTTGATAGGGTCCATCAGATTAGACCCGTACTCATTCAGCCTTACACGCCCTCCCTTGTCCACACCAATCTCCTCCCGTGCGAGAGTTAACCTAGCTTCAAAAGCCTCCACCACTTGATGAACACGCCCTTTCATGATATGACGAGTCTCTATGGTTTCCTCAGCTGGCGATCTTCGCTTAATCTCGAAAGAGTGCTGGTCCTCATCATCCTGATCTTCATCAGTATCGAAAGCATCTTGTTGAGCAACATCAACCGGCTCTTCTAGAGCAGTAAGATTCTCCTTCTCCAAGTCAAGCAAATCCTCAGAAGGAATGGAGCCCCCATGCTTATGAGGCGAGTTAAGAGAGCAAGCTGCTCCTCCTTTGCGAAGTCGTGGGCGAGCCCTGATTTTCATGCTAGGTTCCTCTGTCAGACCAATAGGAGCACGCAAAGTAGACCCCTCATCAATGGTCTCCTCCTCCTCCTCAGATTCATCCTGTAAAATCAGTCTGCGGCGCCTTGAATGCTCGAAAGCTTCATCCATCTGGCTCTGCTGGCCTTGTGAGACCTGCTTGGCACGTCGACCAGGCTGCTGGCATCCCTTTGAGCCCTGTCTAGGATGAGGTCCAACCTTTCTGGGTGATGCCCTTTTCTGTTGTCGCCGAGCACTTCCACCAAGCTTAACCCGAGGAGATGTCTTGAAAACAAAACGCTTAGGGCTAGCCCAATTCCCAATGGGGTTAAGCTTTGGACCTTGTAGCCGAATCTGTGTCTCTTTCTTCTTCTGAGCCTCCACCTCTCTTGGGGGAGGATGAGTCGCCACTTGGGTCTACGGGCGGGTAACAGTACCCGGGATCCTGCTAGCAACCTTCTCACCCCCATCTTTGCTCAACTGGGTAGTTCTGTTAACCCACACTGTTTTGCTTGCATTGCGGTAATGCGGGTAATCCTCATCTTCCCGATAAATCTTTCTTCCTGTCTTGCATGTAGACATGTGTGGTCCAAACCGTTCCTGGCCAGTAGGGGGGCCATAAACACATTCCGGCTTTGAGTGCCCGACCCGGCCACAGTGATAGCAGAAGGTTGGTAAAAACTCATACTTGAGATTTACCCAGAAGTTACCAGTCTCTTCACTCACCGCCATGAATTGAGACCGCAAAGGTTTGGTAAAATCAATGAGAGCATGCACTTTCACAAAACTTTCGTCAGTGTCTTTGGAAGTAAAGACATCAGCCTCCAAGACTTGACCAATAATCCCAGCCGCCACTTTCTGACCAAATTGTTTCGTGCAACAGTCTTCTTTTACATTCCATAATTGAACATGAAATGGAGCAATGGCCAAATCCTCAAAGATAGGTCGTGTGATAGAAGGTGTCCAGGATCGAAGATGTAGAATCCTGTCCTTAACAATCCATGGAGATCGTTTTAGCAGCCAAACCCTCATCTCATCACTTGGGAGACTGATTTCAAACAGGCCAAATTTAGTGTCCGAAACCCAAAGGTTCCCTTGTACCCGCCATGTGTCGAGCAGGCCTTCCCTCAATTCTCTAGCAGTGAAAGTGGTCTCCGAAAGTAGTCTCCCCAAAAGAGTCCTCGAGGTACGAAATTTCACCGATTGAACTTCATCAAGTGAAAATTCAACAACTTGGTCCTCCGCTACACGAGCCATTGTATTCACCTGCCACAAAGGGGTAGATAAAACTTTAGAATCAATGGGATTATCCGTAATCGGACCAATAAAATGCCATAATGGACAATGGGGAAGTGGGCCAGGCACAAATAATTTTGCCAAAAGGGGAGTTGGGCCGGCAGAGAGAGCTTCAAAGCCCGTGATAGTGGACGATGGGCTGCCCAAAACTAATTCAGTAGCCTTTGTCTCACGTGGGCCATTCCTGGCCGGCCCTAAGCCCACCGAACCCAGCTCTGTAGCTCGTCCCCCTCGGGATTCCGGCGGAGCAGCGGGCAGCGTCATCGAATCCAGGGGGATTCTCGGCAAGGGAAGAGCAACCGCCGAAGCGGGAGGGAGTAGACTCCTCGACATAGCGTTCTTCCAATAGAGTTGGGCAGTCGCCGAGACAGAGGTGAGGAGTTCTCTCAGAAAAAAACCAGTCGAAAGGATGTTGGGGAGGAACCCAGTACCTTGATTTTGTATCGGAGCGCCGAGCAGCTTCTAGGAGAGACCTCTCGCTTCTCCTGTCGTTCCAAGGCGCCGATAAGCAGATCGAATAATAGTAGCAGGGGCAGAGGGCAATTTAAAGAGGTAGGAGTCCGAGTTCCCCAGTAAAAGGGAAACTCCCCTTAGCCGACTTTCAGTTAGGGATCGTTTTAGAGTTGGATTAGGATTCTTGTGTGGGGACTGCGATTTTTTCGCCCAGGATAGGATCAGAGCACCGCTGATCCCGCCCAGTACCCCGAAAGAATCTCCCGAAAATCCTTCTGTATCAGTCTTCTGCAACTGAGCCCCAACCCGCCTGCGCTTGTCGTCGGCGCCGTTAATCCGGTCGATCAGATCCGAACCGGCAACAATTGGGGTGATGTTTCTGGGTTTTAGTTGCACGTTCACACTGCCTTGCAGGTCACCGCAGTCTCCCTCCCCGAGGGGATCAATTAGACGAACAAAATCACCCTGAGTTGTTTTTAATTCAACACTGGAAATTGGTACACTACTCTCATTCTTCACTTTCTCTGGCAATATGACAGCGGTACCCACCCCTAAGGGCCCAGAGATGTTGAATCGATTGTTGATTCGATTAATAAGAAGAGAGTTTGTTAATGGATGCCAAGGAGGCTTAATATTGTTCCTCGCGAACGAGGGCGCGTCAGAGTCTTCATTTTCCAGCTCTGACGAGTGTGGAAGGCGGAATCGCCATTGAATCCGTGGCCCAAGCCGACCTTTTTTGGTTGGCCTTTCTTCTTCAGATGTAATCTCGGGAAAAGCCCCACGAATCGATCGTTTTTTCAGGCAGAGCCCTTTTGTTCGACGCCAGTTAATCCCAGTCGGAGCCCTCGAAGGAGCGGGGCTCTCCAGCGCTCGACGATTTCCCCCGTTCCTGATGACGGAAGCATCCTCTTCCCATCCAGGTTCCCGAAAGCGACTCCGGCGCAGGGAAGGCGAAGGAGGAGCCCAGCGATTCTGATTATTTAGGCTGGCTTTAAAGCAGGCGACGGCGGCCTGTGACAGCCACCGGCCGAGAAACGAACAAAAAAGAAGGAGAGAGGAGAGAGCTCCTCTCATTCCCGTTTTTTTTTAATCCAACAGTGAATCATTGTTGTAAAGTATTATATTGTAGAAATTTGTTCTTTTAGCTTTTATGTCGGCCTTTTATTAAGTTACTTGTTTTGGAGCCAAAACAAACATGCCCTCTTAAGTAAAATGCAGGAAGACACTCACCTGATAATGAGCAAGCAGATCAAGATATCGGCGAATGGGAGAAGTAAACTGAACATATCCGGGAAGCCCCAAAATCCCATGGCGTATAGGCTTCCTGAAGTCAATCTCAGCCGCACGCAGAATTTTAGTGATAGCAGCAGTCCTAACAGGCCCCTCAGGAAGATGGGCAAATGCAGATACGTCAATATTCGATTGAGGCTGTCCTCTGTAAGGCAAAGGAATGTTGTTCGGAGATCCAAAAGTAGCAATAACTTCACCACATAGTACCATCATCTCAGTTACAAGCCGCATTGCATGGTCAGCCTGGTTCTCAACATAGAGGTTGATTGACGGCTCTGGATCATCAGGATTCACCACTTTAATTCGAGTTTCTATCTTCTGTGTGTCGACTGCACCCTGCAAAATTCAGAATTTGCAGGATAGATTACCGGAGAACAGAGAAACTGCAGGTATTCAGTCAAACCACTGGCAACCTAAGCATATTGGCCTACAGGTAGGCTAAACCAGTTGTAAATAATCTACTTTCATGCATGAAGCCTAGAGGCTACAGTGATGAACCAAACCAAAGGCATCTCTCATCAATTCATGTAATACGATTGCGATGGATGCCACAGATGGCCTCGATATACCCTAGGATGGTAAATGCAAGGAAGCTCAAAAAACTGATTGCAAGCCAGAATTGCACAAGTTGGAGATTTGGAGCATATTGATGTTCTGGGAGACGAACCTGCTGATAACGCCAACGAAAGCGCAGAGCTGCAGCTTCGGAAAGGATTCTTAATTCTACTTCCTCTTCCAGATTTAAATTAAGTAGCTCTGATGCATTTTCGTAAGTCAGCATGTATGTTGGTTTGATGATTGAGTTATCCACGGAGTATTCAGCAATGCTAATGCATCACAAAACAAAGGAGAAATCAGAAGTAGAAAATATCCAACCAAAGGGAAATCATCCCTCACTAAGTATTCAGCAATGCTAACAAGAGACAAACTCGTTACCTGTGCAGTGGTTCGAGGTACATAAACAGAACGAGAGCCTTTATTCTCCTTTGCAGTGAAGTACAAGTTGTCTCTTGTTAGCAAAAGATATGCACAGTAACTCTCAAGGGGATCCGCACTACCAAACATCATCTGCAGGATAAGCTATCGTCATTAAAAAGAAATTATAAGGAGTACAAGAACCACTTTCAGAAAAAGTACCTGGGATAGTTCTGCTGCTGTCACGGACTTATTATTTTCAAGAAGCTCAACCCAAGCAAACTCGAGAAGTGATGGATTCTGCACCATGGAAGTATCCACTTAGTCGTCTACAACAGTAAATAAATAAATAAAAAATGTAAAAGCCGGCAGAATTGAAATAGCCTTTCACTAACCAAGTTATCTTCAGCTTTCTTCAGCCTCTAACTGGTCGAAGAGACCCTCCATGGCCTCCCAACGATCTTTGGAAGGCGCAACTGATGAAGAACCGACACCGGAGGGACTGGAGAAGAACTGCAGCGGGTTGGGGTCAGCCTGATGTGGTGGGGCCCAACCGGTGGTAGGAGCCTCGGCCTCCGCTGCCTCTGCCTCTGCAAACTCGACAGGGCGCAAGCCCTTGAGCCAACGGATCCACGGGACCATCCTCGCGACCCGAATAAGCCCATGGAGTACAAGGTCTCGTCAGGGAAGTCTCTAGTGCGCCCCACCCAGGTACATCTATCTAGCGGCACTCTGAAGTACTGGGCAAGGCGAGTGATGTAGGGCTCCTCGTGTAGTGTGAGAACCTTCTAGTGACCATTTACCCGAGAGAAAGAGATCGCCACAATCGAGCCAAGGTGGATGTGGTTGAGAGCGTCAGACATGGGGAGCAGAGCGTACATGTTCCTTTTAGTCATCTAGTCGGAGGCCTCCTGACTGCAGATAGCAGAGTGAGCAAGCAACGCAGTAGAAACCGCTACAGGGTCTGAAACTGACAAGCCAGGGTTCGACTATGTGCATAGGGAACTGTGGCGTGCTTTTGCAGGCATATCCGTTAGTAAAGGGTCTGGAAATCCAACTGCAGGATGGTGGGCTCCACCCAGAACATGTCGTTGGTGTCCAGGCCTAGGGCTGTGGCGAGCTCATGATAGGTTAGACTGTGGTGCTGACCTCCAAGTCGTAAGGTAACCGCGCCAGCATCATAAGCATGCCGCTTCCTAGTGTGGCAGAAGGTGTTATAGAACTCCATAGTGGGCTCCTCAAATACGTCATCCTGGAGTTCCAGCCGGCGGCATCACTACGCGTGGGGGACTGTCGCCTCAATGGCGTCATGGCAGAGGAACTGCAACGAAGTAGGCCAGATTGAGGCAGTAGTGGCCCCAATCTGCCCCTCCAGTATCCTGGCAAACGGTCCATCATAAGCCTCGGTGTAGCGAAGGCCCTGTAGGAAGGCGTGGTCTAGGTTGACCATTGTCCTACAAAAACAAGCAACCACACACCTCGAAACCTGTTAGTACCAACATAATTGGGGGAAATAAGTCAGCAGAGCCAGCATTCCCTAACACTTAAGCTCAATCCAGACTATATTGCATAATGAAATTCTGCAGGAATATGACTCTATACCAATAACTAATAGCTTCATTTAAGGCAGGGCAAACCAGACAATCACGCCAAAAACAACACGAGATATCCAAAAACACCCCTCAGACCCCCCAAAACCGAAAATGCACAGAAAATGATCCCCCAAGGCACGACAATTCACCACAAAACTTCATGTTTGACACACGACACACATAATCCCAAAAACAAAAAGAAAAAGGGAATGAAATTGCAAACCGAGGTGGGATTTCCTCCTCACAAGCGCTTATTTACCATCGCGTAGCTGGATGCAAATGGAGGAACTAAGGGTCCGCAGGATCAACCAACCTACTCCGCTCGTTCGACATCGCCTACCAAGTACAACTTGAGACGATGACCGTTCACCTTGAAGGGCTCAGTCTGCGGATTGGCGATCACGATGGTGCTATAGGGAAACACCTGAGTGAGCGTGAATGGTCTGGACCATCGGGAGCGCAGCTTTCCCGGAAAGAGTCACAGGTGGGAGTTGTATAGAAGATCTCGAATGCCCACCTGAAACTCCTTCGAGCCTTTGAGATAGGTGTCGTGGAGACGCTTGGTTCACTCATTATATAGTCTAGTGTTCTCATAGGCGCGATAACGCCATTCTTCCAACTCCACCAGCTGCATTTTCTGCTCGGTACCTGCGAGACTCAGATCAAGGTTTTGCAGCTTAAGGGCCTAGTAGGCCTTGCACTCTAGCTCGACGGGTAAATGATAAGCCTTTCCATAGACAAGCCGATATGGAGAAGTACCAAACAGAGTCTTGTAGGTTGTCATATATGCCCACAGAGCATCATCGAGCTTGGTGGACCAATCCTTGTGGGATTGATCCACCGTCTTTTCAATGAGCCATTTCAACTCCCGGTTCATCAGCTCGGCCTGACCATTTGTTTGGGGATGGTAAGCCACCGATACATTATGCGTGACATCATAGCAAGAGAGGAGTTTAGTAAATTTCCCTTCAAAATGAGTTCCTCTATAGCTAATAATGGCTCCAGGTGTCTCGAACTGGGAAAAGAGCTGCTTAAGAAATGAGCAGACACGTCTTGCATAATTAGTGGAAAAACATCCATGAAGTCGATGCCCCAGACATAAAAAATTTCACAAGTCACAAACGACTTCTGGGACACCTCATCAAGGGCAGAGATGTTACCTGGCCGCTGACAGTGATCGCATTGGCGTGCGAAAGTGTCAACATCATTGAAGAACGTGGCCCAGTAAAAGCCCGACTGTAGCACTTTCCGCGCCGTGCGGTTTCCTCCATGATATCCGCCTATGGATCCCTCATGACAGTGAGACAGGATATCTTCCATCTCGTTCTTCATCATGCATCATTGTATCACGCCATTAGCTTCGATCCTGAAGAGGTATGTGTCTCAACTGTCCCTCGGGTAGGGTCGCGTTCGCTTTTGGAGTCGCCATCGATCTTACTTGGAGTGGATCGAACACTCTTCGTTCGGCTCTAACCTTAGGGTCAGAACTGAGACTTGGTCTACGAAATAGAAATCTAGGTTTGGGAGTACGGTTACGTGTGGGGAAGTGAAATCACAGCCCACAACACCCAAAATTGGTACCGCTTAAGTCGATAAGTTTTATACCAGTTGGATGTTTTTAATAATTATTGGTGTTTGTAGGGTCCTATTGGACCGCTAAATAGTTTTGTCGTATTAGTTTATGATTTTATTATACGCCCACTGACGTTCTTTTAAAGATAAAGTTAATTAGTTAGTTGGACTCGAACCTTATCGGTTGCCTACGTACCCGTATCATGGGATCAAAGTCCACTTAGTTCGTTGCAGTGACTTTGATATTTATTTATAAGCACGTTCCACTGATCGTGATTATAAAATATTTTTATTAGGAAAAATATAAAACGAATAATATGTTAATTAATGAAACATGAAGAAAGATTTGAGTATTTGAAAATAATGAAACTTAAAGATTATTTTGCATTCAAAATTTCGTATTAAGAATTCTTAAAAACAACATAAGATAAAAGAAAAAGAATATATTAACTTAATAGGAAAAATGCTCGCAGACCAACTGGCCAGTGTGTTGTAACGGATTGCATACAACCCTGAGGTAATGGGTTCAAAACCCAACTAGAGGGTTCATTTTTTGTTTTAAACAGATAGAGGGGTATTGTGGTTAATGTACAAAAACGAGGTGGTAAGGGCGGTAATAGATGGTAAACCCTAAGGGCATTTTAGTAGTTTTAACAATTCGAGTATATAAGCGTCTCTAACAAAAACCCTAATTGAACCTAACCCTAAAGTCAAAGCGACCGTCGTTCCCCTCTCTTCTCTCTCTCTCGCTCGTTCTTCTCTCCCTCTCATACTTTCTTTCTGCCCTCTGAAACGAGAAAGAAATGAAGGAAACTCTTCATCTCTCTCTTCCTTCTGCCTCCTCTAAGACAAGAAGAAAGAAAAGGAAACTATTCCTCTGGAACGCGAATCACAACAACAAAACGAGACCCCTCCTCCTATCTCTGATCGCCCTACACAAAAAACGACTAGGACTCCCAGATTGACTAGAAGTATGGCGATCTATGTAAGATTTTGGCTTGCAAGTAGGTTTTCTTTTGGTTTTCTATCTCAAAAACCCGGATTCTAATTTTTGGGTTTCGTTTTCTTATGTCTTCTATGGGTTTTGTTTTCGGGCGATGGGAAGACGGGATGGCGAGCCTTGTCTGGAATGGGGTAAGCTCGGAGCTGTTTGGTTATTTTTGTTTTGATGTTTTTCGTATTTTGAGTTTTTTATTATTATTTTTTAATTTGGGTTTTCTTTTGGGGTTCCGATGAGAGGAGAAACAGAAGATGGCGTCG